TTCTTACACTGTATGATTTTACAATCTTGCAATCGCCTCTCTGGGTTAACTTCACTCATTACCTCCATGCTGGCTTTAGGGGAGGTTAATGGGAGGGTCTTTGGCCCTCCTGAATGTCCTAAGGCAATGACCCCATATCCAGAGCTTAAAAACCTTTTTTCTACCCACTGGCCTGTGATCGTCCTGCATTCGGCATCATTGCATGTGTTTTGTGAGTCTGAAGAGGACTTTATAGATTGGTATCAGACATATGGGCTAGTATTGGACTTATGGCCTTGGACTGGACTGGGTTGGGATGTTTTCTCCGTGTTCAATTGCTCTTGTATATAAAGCTCTTTCTTATACACATATGTGTGTCCATGGATTTGTTTCTCTACTCTCCCCAGACCAACACAATGGTTCTTTTGGAATCCCCCCAAAACCAGTGCCCATAACCTTTTTAAAAAAGTAATAAATAATTTTATTGGGGGCTCTTACAGTTCTTAGAACAATCCATACACCAACTGTATCAAACTCATTTGTACGTAGGTTGCCATCCTCACTTTCGAAATGTTTTTTTTTTCCTGCCTGAGCCCTTGGTATAGCGCAGTTCCTATAACCTTCTGAGCTGACCTCTCTGCTTTGAAGTTAAGGGACCCAGAAAGATGCGTTTGGAAGTCACTATTTTGATCGGACCTGTCTGAGGGCACCCTAAGACTGTGAAAAGGTAGTCTGACTGAGCGCCCTTGCCTGCATCCATCCACTAATCTCAGAGACATGTTGGAATGTATGGTGCTTGGAAGGAACCCACAGCAAGTATGAGCAGAAACCTTCAAAGCATTGCTTAACCATCCCTCGGCCTGGTGCAGAAACTACAGTGAAAAGTGAAGAAACGATGCTGGTTCAAGCCAAGATGGAGCGGAGGTGGTTCGGTGGTAGCATGCTCAGCCTCTGCGTGGAGACCTGGCTTCCATCCCCAGCCAGTGCACCTCATACGCAGCCACCACCTCCTGTCAGTAGAAGCTTGCATATTGCTTCCAAGCCAGAAGGCTACCGACTAGAGATTGGCCAGTGAAAACCCTTATGGTCCACACGGATCCAATCTGCAATCAATACTGGGGCGGCGGAGGACCGGGCAGCGTTTCATTCCCTGTGCATGGGGCCCCGGTGGGAGTTACATAATTTCATGTCAATTTGAAGTTATATAGAAGTGTAGGGGTGGAGATTAGCCTGTCAATGAGGTCACAGCCTGATGGTGCCTCCTTGTGGGCGTGGCCTTCTCCTAAGGAGGGCCCTGGGAACAGCCCTCTCCCTCTCTGCCTTCACCTTCCTGCTGGCTGATCCTGGTAGCTGCCAGAGCCCTGGAGATGCATCCATTGGATCCACACGACTTTGCACCCACTGGCCTGTGCTCTTCCTGCATTCCACATCATTGTATGTGGCTGTGAAAGTCTGCAGAGGGACTTATGGACTAGTATCAGACTTCTGGGCTCGAGTTGGACTGGGATGTTTTCTCAATAATTATTTCTTGATATACAGCTCTTTCTTACACATATATGAGTGTCACCGGATTCGCTTCTTTAGTCAACCTGGCCTCACACAGCCACCAGGAGTTGAGAGCCAATGCCATGGCAGCTACCAAGAGTCACGTTAGAGGCTCCTTTTGGGGGCTGGGGGGAAAGGTCATGCTTGGGAAGGTGGGGGTTGGTGACTTCAGCGCTGCCACATCCTCTCCCTCGGCCTCAGTGGTGCTGACTCAGGTGTTCCACTTACAATGATTCTTTCACTCAAGCATGTTTTTACATGCCAGTGGGTTTATGGGTCCACTCACACTGGCTTGTGAGAGTCAATTGCTAACCTCTTCAGGAATTTGGGGAGTCAGTTGGCATCACACCAGAAGCTTAAAATCAGCTAGATACACACAGCATCTTGACCAATTGGGCGTTTTATTCGGCGAAGCTCCTCAGGAACCACCTACCAGCACATCACAG